ACCGAAAACCTATAAAGTGTCATAACTAAGCCATAAATAAAGATATTAAAATGAAATTTGGCACAAAGGATCGCATTAGGGAGGGGCATATGTGGACGTAATTTTTTTTGGAAAAGTGGGCGTGGCCCCGCCCCCTACTAACTTTTTTGTACATATCTCGAAAACTACCACAGCTATGTCAACCAAACTGTATGGAGTCGTTTCTTTTAGGCATTTCCATATATAGTTCAAAAATAGAAGAAATCGGATAATAACCACGCCCACCTCCCATACAAAGGTTCTGTTGAAAATCACTAAAAGTGCATTAACCAACTAACAAAAAACGTCAGAAACACTAAATTTTACGGAAGAAATGTCAGAAAGAAGCTGCGTCCAGGCTTTTTTTAAAAATTGAAAGTGGGCATGGAAGCACTTGACCGATTTCAATGAAATTCGGTATATAATATTTTCTTAACACCCTGATGACATGTACCAAATATGGGTGAAATCGGTTCACARCCATGTCTGAAATCTCGATTATCACTTTATCATGCGAGAGTATAAAATGTTCGGTGACACCCGAACTTAGCCCTTCCTTACTTGTTGTATATTAATCTTGCCATAGATAAAGAAAACGACAGGGACGCTATAAAATGTTTATCAAAATTAACAGCGTGACGAGTGAGTCGATTGAGTCATGACCTGTTTCCTGTGTGGAGCGATTCCTGTGGGAATCGATTAAAATTTTTTTTTCTCTCCAAGAACTGCTTAGTTGTCGGAATCACTGATATCGGACCACTATTGCATATATCTGCCCTACTGAAATTCAGTTCTTGCATAGCGAAGTTTTGTACTTATCGAAATATCTTAACTAAATTTCGCATGCATTATTGTCCAAGGCAATCCTTTAACCTCCGAATATGTGATTCAATTTGATCCGTTATAGGTGCCCTATAACTGTCTCATAAGAATCAAGTTCTTGTATGGAAAAGTTGTTTACTTGGGAAAGCTATTTCAGCGTGTTGCGTAATGTTTTTTTTTTTATATTTTTATTTTATTTTATTTTTTTAAACAGACCGGATCTAAGCATGTACTAACCGATTGTGAAACGTATTTTTTTTTTGTTGCAATTGCTCAGATCTCGAAACACTATATATATATGATTATATTAAAGCATTATAAAATAGRCACCAGTACAACAAGTGCTTAGCACGGGCTGCCAGAAAATCCCCCAGCTGAGTTGGTTGAGTACAATTTTCGCCGATGYTAAATATGTGAAGCTGCATGCAGTCTAAACATGCCAATAATCTATTAGCGAGCTTCACCGAAATGCTGTTAGCGCCAAATACAAATGTCAAAGCTAGTCAATCTAGCACCCACACATTGTCTAAGAACGTCTTCGATGCGCACTACGAGTTGCCGGGGTAAGACTAAGTGAGACTATACAGAGGGGCACGCGTGTATAGCTCACCAGCTAGTTAGTAGGTAAGTTAGCCATGCTTTGACTTTGAAYGGGGATTACCCGAAACGCAAAGCACCATTGCAAATTGCTTTAATGCGTTGTCATTAGTTGCTTTGAGTGTTAGCATGTTTTCTCCCAACCRTTGACCAAATTTAATTTCTTCAATCGGGTGCACTTCAACTTCTATTTGTGAGTTTTCGCTTGCTAATGACGCGGAAATGCAACGTTGKGCAAATTACGCTGTATTAATGAAAAGCTCAAGTTAATGATGTGGAAATAATTTCACATTCCGCAGTAATTCGCATAATTAACTCATATTGTTRATTAACTTCTATGCAAATAAGTAAGTAAATGCCACAAAGGTATTAGTTGGGAAATTATTGAGAAGCTATTATTTGCTTCGATTTTCAATTGACACCAGACAAAAATGCCCACATTTTTATTTCCACAAAGTGTCTGAAAAACAAGAAATCAGTTACAAGGCAATTGCCGTAAACCAAAAACTGAGCGTTCTTAAAGCATTGTTGGGAGGTTTCTAAGGTCAGTAGATCACTTTATATTGAACACTTAATTTATACAAAAAAATTTTTTTTATGAAATAAATTGAAAGCTAGTTTCAGATCTTATATAGCGCAGCCAAAGTGAACAGGTTCCACAGCCCATACCAGATCTTGATGCTCTTCAAAGTATTTCTTGCGCCAAAACAATGCTCGTACAAGTACTTAATTGTTCRCAAATATTTGCTCATTTTCAACTTATCGATAATTGCAAAGGGGATTTTTGGTTGTTATTTATTTTGGTTAATATAACAACTGCTGAAAATAGTTTAATTTTAACATATTATTTATACTTATAAGCGACGCTTTTTTGGGTTTCCTTTGTCCATTTGCTTGTTTACATAAAAAACTGTCTTCGATTGTTTAGCTTGCTATCTCTGCCTAACTTTTTGGTCAAAAAATTTACATGTTGAAGCAACAACATATTCATTGATAGTTGTTGAGTTGAATTCGGTACATGTGAGTAAGCAGCTATCTCATCAACGCTCATAATTTTTTGAMTAACTGTAGTAGTATGTTCGATTCGCAAATGAATTTTTTCGAAAAGGAAGAAGTCGCACAGTGCCATATCAGGTGAATACGGGGCGTGGTTATTGGTTAAAATGGGATTTTTTTGTCTTTAATGATGTCCGTCGAATGTTGGATTCTGAGCAATTTTTAGTTGTCAGTGAATTTGAGTGGAAGAAACCGTGCACACACCTTTCGTAAGCCCAAATGTTCGGTCAGAATGCGATAAATCGATGTTTTGGAATGATGTTTCCAAGAATTTCAATGATGATTTCGGCAAATTTTTGATGAATTCACACACGTTTCGATTCAATTTCCGATGATCACAGTTTTTTCTCACATGTTGATCGCCATTTATGTCCTGACGATCACTTTGAAAACGTTGAAACCACTCGTACACTCTTCTATGGGACAGTCAATCATCGCCATAAACTTGTTTCATCAATTGAAATGTTTCGGTAAAAGTTTTACCAATTTTAAAACAAAATTTAATGTTGTCTCTTTGTACGAAGCTTAGTTTCGCATCGATTACACAACATGCTGACACTTAAAACGCAATGATTCCACTTACSAATCAATGAAATGTCACGAAATTCTCACTASACAATCGATAAAGACAGTAGATTCTAATGCACCAGTCGACATATAGATGGCGCCACCAGGGGCCGCTAAAYTCAAAGAGTCCTGTTTACTTTGGAACACACCTTGTAGATGTAG